TAGACAACCCTTTCTCCTTCCCTCTGTCCCTTCCTCTCCTCCATTCATTTAATCATCATTGCTTACATTTATTTTAGCGTACAAACCATCTTCGCACATACATTGTTAGACGTAGTCCCTATTAAGATTAGTCAACAAGAAAGGGTTAATGTAGTGTCATAAGTAGCAGAATCGTAGTGGAAATGTTTAAATAGTGTGTTCTTATGGCTAAATTTGAGCGCCACCAATGCCTTCCTGGCATGGGAGTATAGAGGCGGTCTCTGCCAGACAGGTGGTCGCTGGACGGTTCACTGTCAGGGACCATCTCTGGTATATAAACGGCAACCCAAGAGCCAGTGATACTCAAACCTCGTCCACGGTACACACTGTCCGCACTCTTCCCCGCAAGGTAACTTAATGTGAAACTTAATATTAATGTGAATTAAAACAAAATTCGAAATCTTAATATCGCCGAATTCTTAAAGTTAGTCTTTATTTCAAAATTACTGTACATGAAAAACATACAATAACCTGAAGACCCATAGAATGCACAAGTCACATAAAATTTGCACCATCGAGCCTGTTTATTTAAAAGATAAAACTCTGATAGTATATATTGCATTGCTTTAGAAACATTTGCGATATTTCGCAAGCTCTGTAGACCATACATTTCATCAGTTTGTCATTCTCTGGATGATAATGATAATTTTTATCTGGTTTCTCACACAGTTGGGCAGTGTGGGGTGGGGAGGGAGGCTGGTCGCCAGGTATGTTTTTTTAATAATAGATAAAAACTGAGAAATTGTAATTGATACACACAGGCAGTATTTAGAAATTATATTTAGACAACATTTCGCCTGCGCAACAGTTTCTGTTCGGATCAAACTTGAAAAAATCCTGCTCTGCTGTGTATGTCTTTATCCACTGTAAGGTATAATCGTTGCTAGATTTATTTTACACTATGAGTTTTGATAAACGAGACACCTGTGCAACATTTGGGTATCTTTATTCTGGAAACATTTCGCCACACAGTGACTTCTTCAGTCGAGTGCAGAAAAATGGGTAAGATGAGGAGTTTGAGGTAATCAGTCCATTAGCCTGGAGTCTGTGTTCAGTCCATCAGTCTCGACTCCAGCCTGAGGGACTGATTACCTCAAACTACTACTCATCTTCCACCTTTTTCTGCACTGGACTGAAGAAGCCACTGTGTGGCGAAACGTTTCCAGACTAAAGATACCAAGATATTGCACAAGTGTCTCATTTATCAGGCTTTTCGGTTTTATAAACCATTTATTCACACGATGGATTTTCTTATAGAGGAGTGTGTTACCCGCGTGTTACCCGCGTGTTACCGCGTGTTACCCACAGACAACAGACGGAGAGTTGATGAATGAGACATGTGCATCATTGGGTTATAATGCCGAAACATTTCGCCACCGCAGCAGACTTTTTCAGTCGAATACAGAGGCGACAGTGGAATCGGTGGAGAAGATCAGTTTGTGTTAGTTCTATCCCTCTGCCTTCCACTGTCTTCAGTTTAAATGTTGTTTCTGTATTCGACTGACAACGCCTGCCGCACAGGCGAAAAGTTTCAGCTTCTCGGTATTGAGTTGCGAACCACCTGCACGAGTGCTGCTGGAGGGTTCTTGATTATGGTAATTTGAGTAATCCCTCTCCCTCCAAGAGTCAAAACTCATTACCTGGCGTTCTTCAAGCACTGTACGACTTCGGGCTTTACGCTTCCTTGTGGGAAAAAGAATGCCATGTTAAGTATTGGAGGGAATTGGTTAGAGGTTTGTTACTAGTTGTCAAGGAAACTAGTCGATAGATATTTGGCTGTGTGTGTGTGTGTGTGTGTGTGTGTGTGTGTGTGTGTGTGTGCGTGCCCGCGCGCGTTTTTTGTGGGGTGGGGACCTTTGTAGTATGGTACTTTGCCCAGGTGTTGGGCAGGTGCTCATGCTCGCTCACTACCTGCCTTCCCCTACCCAAATACAAACTGCCCGGTGGTCTCAACACACCGCGGAGGGTGATGGGCAGTAACCAGGGAACCATGATAGTGGTTTAGTCGTCACGTAGTCTCCTGACAGCTCAAGAATCCACTCGGTAATCTGTAACCACTGGCGTACTGGTGCTGTGTGCGTGAGCATCAGAGAAAGAGAATAGAGCGAGGATCAGGGAGGGAGAGAGGAGAGCGAGGATCAGGGAGGGAGAAAGGAGAGCGAGGATCAGGGAGGGAGAAAAGAGAGCGAGGATCAGGGAGGGAGAAAGGAGAGCGAGGATCAGGGAGGGAGAAAGGAGAGCGAGGATCAGGGAGGGAGAAAGGAGAGCGAGGATCAGGGAGGAAGAGAGAGCGAGGATCCGGGAGGGAGAAAAGAGAGCGAGGATCCGGGAGGGAGAAAAGAGAGCGAGGATCCGGGAGGGAGAGAAGAGAGCGAGGATCCGGGAGGGAGAGAAGAGAGCGAGGATCCGGGAGGGAGAGAAGAGAGCGAGGATCCGGGAGGGAGAGAAGAGAGCGAGGATCAGGGAGGGAGAGAAGTCTGATCAAGAAATGCTTTTGTAGATTAAGTTTTAAAACTTAAAACTCCCTCAGTAATAGAGCGTTCCTCTCGTAACCGAAAGTACCAGGGTTAGATCCCTAGGCAAGTAGAGACGTGCAGGTCTCCTCGCATCTGAAACATGAGCATCACTGGTAACTTTATCGACGAAACTTTTCGCCCGTACAGCAGGCTTCATCAACCAAGTATAGGTGATTACAGTGCTGGAGACAGTAATGGTGAATAAGTAATTCTGAGGTGGTCAGTGCCATAGTTATCAGTCATGCCAGTCGACACCCAAAGTCTTGTACATGAATGTTACTCAACTTGATGGTATTGTATATCTTTTACACCTGCTGCCCCTGTTCACCTAGCATTTTTTTTTTAATTTATAGGTTCGAACTTTTGAACGCCCGTTAGGAAGCAGACTGCCTGGACCGCCCAACTTCATGGGGAGGTGCGGTAGTCTGCTTCCTGACGGGAGTTCATACGTTCGAACTTGCAGATTTAAACCTAGCAGTAAATAGATAGGTGAATGTTAATACTGTTGGGGTCGCATCCTGGGAAAAAGCCGAAGCACCCCTTCAGAAATGAGCCCCCCCCCCCCACACACACCGCTTGCCTTTCTTGGGGTTATCCTGGGTTAATATTAAGAAGTCATCTTTATCCTTCTGTTCTGCTAGCATCCAGTACTTGGAAACTTTTAAAGAAGTGGGTGGAGGTGCCGTGATGCCGGTAGAAAGCTCTTGATCCAAGAAACTGGCGCTCTCTTCCTTGGATCAGATCTGATTACATGCTCTTTCTCAGGTTATGTAAGACCCCAGCGGGTTTAGTGCTTCATGAAATAACACACTTGCAGTACACACACTAGTGATTTCACCAACTGGATACGAGCAACTTCTGAAGCTTAAGGAAGTTAAGTTGGTCAACATGCCTTGAGCAAGTGTATACACCGAGGTTATACAATACAATTTTTATTTCTTTGCAAGTTTACATTGAGATTCTGTAGTTACAATAATTATTTGCAGTACAGAGAGCCACTATCATGCCATGGCATTATGAACAGACTAAATTAATGGCTTACAGACTACTTAATACTCGAGAAATTGATCATAGTTTAAGTTGTACATGTTTTTATTTAAAGCAGACAGTAAGTTAACTCAAGTTACAATCTTGGGACAATTTGAAGGTATTTTGTAGGTTGTGTATATCAATAGTAAATATTTAAGCTATATTATTGGAATATAATATTGACCGTTGGTGAAAGTAGTTTACTGTATGAGAATGATACAATATGGTGTAAGGCAGTATAGTTTTGTGCAGGTATTTATACTACAATTTAGTATTAAGTTATGTATGAACTTTGTGTATTTAAATTTTGAAGTGTTAAGATTTAGGTAATTGGGAGATCTTTTGGCAAATTGAAGTATTGAGTACTGAATATTTAGTTTCGGGTGAATAAATGGTTTTTGAGAAGTCTTAAATTGATGTTCAGACCGGGTTACTTTAGTATTTACTGGTAATGAGTTCCAAATATTGGGACCCTTTATGTGCATAGTGTGATGTGGACACTGGGTACATCAAAAAGTGATCTGTGTCTCGTGTTATGGTCGTGTGTCCTGTTAAGGTTGGTGAGAAGTTTGAGTGGGAGGTTTATGTTTGAATGTAGTGTTCTATGTATGTAGTAGGCGCAAGAATAAGTATGGATGTTCTTTACTTTGAGTAATTTTAGACTTGAATGTTGGTGGAGTATGCTGTCTGGAGTGGGAATTTATCATTCTGACTGCAGCCTTTTGCTGGGTTATTAGCGGTCGTAGGTGATTTGATGTTGATCCCCATGCACAAATTCCATAGATGAGGTAAGGGTAGATGAGTGAGTGATACAGTGCAAGGAGAGCTGATTGTGGAACATAGTACCGTATCTTTGATAGTATGCCTACTATTTTAGAGATTTTCTTGGAAATTTGTTGTATATGGGTCGGGAATTTAAGGCTACTGTCAAGGTGGATTCCTAGGAAGGCGGATTCCTAGGAATCCACCTTTAGTTAGAAAGTGTTTAGACAAAGGTTAGTTGGTAAGTCTTGACCGAGTATATAGACGAGTGTAGCAAACTGTAAGATTGTCTTGTATCTTGAGATTGCCTCACGCATTATGTTCCATCTTGCAGAGTTAAAAATCATGCAAACCTTCATGTGATTATTCTGAATTTAGGTGGTTGCAAGTTTATTAGTAGAAATGTAGTGGGGGGGGGGGGGAGAGGACGAGCCCTAGTTCTGGGTTCCACCTTGTAACTTTTGAAATAGGTAAAATTAACCCTGTATGATGTCCAATGTCGTTGTTAACTCATTTTCCTTATATCCCTCTGGCTCATTTGAGTGTAATTTCCCATTTCCTTTTTATTACTTGCCTAATAGGACCTATCCTCATCCACACTCCATGCCCTCTCAGTATATTTTGCCTTGTTCATATCCCTTATTCTTCGTTCAGGTGACTGTTGCTCTCTCTTCTGCATAGCTGATGACCTTCACCTCCAGCACTCCGGTACTAATATAAACTTTTTATAGTTAAACTTTGTGTTTTACTGGGTGAAGGCTTCACACTGGTGCTGTATATTCAAGACTAGAAAGTTAAATATTTTGAACGAGTATCTAGTTTCGTGATTGCCAGTCTTAAATTTGTTAGCCCAGGAATATGCAGTCCACCATTTTTTCCCTTTGTCTTTTTAGTCTTGCATGTCTATTTTAAGGTTTGTTAGGCACGACATTGTTTCTGAATTTGCAGTCAGGGTAGCAGTGTTATGTTCGACATCGTCTGACACTTTGCATATCATTAACGAATTGTTTTAGGTGTGTGTGGTGTGCACAGTATTTCAGCTGATGCTCCCTCAGGAGTCCTCTCGCATCCTCCAGTGTTTGTTCCGTTTAATTTTTTCTTGCTCTAGTTTCTGGTGCTGGTTCCTGCTAATGTATGAACACATTATGGTATCTTCTGTAGAACACATTATGGTATCTTCTGTAGAACACATTATGGTATCTTCTGTAGAACACATTACATAATTGTCATTTTGGTCTTTTCCCCATTTGGCAGTATTATCACAATCTTTAGTAATTTTTATTGTCTGGTTATGAAATTACTTTTATTTTGTCTTTTGCATTGTTTAAATTGACCTTTACCATATTCTTGTGTTCCTGGTTTTTGCCTCATTTTATTAATGATTGAATCATGGGTATTCCCGCTGAAGATATAGGATGAGGAGGGATATAGTGCGTGAAGGGTTATAGTAAACTTTTAACAAAATTCCTTAGTCATTACCCAGGTTATCAGGAATACCAAAGTACATGTACTGGTACACAACATATCTAGAGAGATAAGGCCATGATAGAATAATAAGAGAAAAAGAAACAAACGTCGGCACCTAGTCTAGCCTAGTAAGTTTTTGCTCCCTCCCCCCTCCCTGACAGCCATCACCATGAAGGTCGCATTTGCCCTCCTCACAACCTTGTTTGTGGCTGCGTCCTGCCGCTCCGCCTACCAGCTGCCAGCGGGCGTCGAGCTCTTCAGGTCGCAGGTCATCACCTCGTTCAGCTGCGCCGGCCGCCCCTACGGCTACTACGCTGACGTGGCTAATGACTGCTCCATCTTCCACATCTGCTATCCAATCAACGACGAATTTGGAAACGTAAACTCTCGTTCCTAAGTTTGATTTTTTGTTTTGTTTTGTTTTGCTTTATTAAACTCGCTTGATAGTTTCTATCAAAATCTATGGATCTAGCATCCTTGCCCATCGTATTTGTTAGTTAAGACTGCAGTAATAATTTGCTATTTTACACTTTGTTACATTTCCCCAGTTTCCATTTATAAAACTATTTGAACCGAAGATTTGCACAGTTAAATGAAGTTCAATTTTTTTTTACAAAGATTTTGGAAGACGCTCAGTTCTCCTTCATCTGCGGGAACCAGACAATCTTCAGCCAGCAGTCACTGACCTGCGCAACTCCTGAGGAAGCTTACCCATGCAACCAGGCAGAGTCGCTCTACGAGTCTTCCAACGCTGATTTTGGCAAGATTCCCGAGCAGCCTAACTTCTTCTAGGATGACAGTGGCCCACTACTCTGGAAGATCATTCCACACCACAAGTGACACACGTGCAAATTCGAAAGTTTCCTGGAAATTGGTAGGGTAGTTTACTGATGTTGGACTGACCGCTCTTCATAGTGCCCCAGTCCGCGATATCTCCACTGCGAACCTTACAAGCCAAAACAAAATTAAAGTATGGCACACACGAAATCTGTTTTACTATTATAACATTCCTTGTTTTATGTTTTTATCTTCTCTTACTCTCAGTCTGAACCTGACGACCTTAGAGAATATGAAGGGTGGGGGGAAGGGGGCATAATTAGGACCAGGATCAATGGAACACAGACGAGCCATAGGAATGTTAAGTATTTCTTTACTCTCAGGGTGGCTGAAAAGTGGAATGACTTGGATGAAGCCGTGGAGGTAAACTCGGTATAATATGTACATAGTTTTCAGAGTAGATATGATGTGGCACAAGAGGCCAGAAGTCTGTGATGCCATTCAAGTTGGTTAAGGAGGCAGGGCCAAGAGCTATGTATCGACTCCCCTCAAACAAATAGGTTACTACACACATGCGTACTCGTGGGCCAACATTATTCCAAACGGTATAATTAAAGTTCATTCCCCTAAAGCTCTTCACTGGTGAACTACACAGGGTGCGCAATCAACTAGCCGCTTCGGCAACAAAATCAAATTATACAAGTGCCTTATCCCTAACTAGTGTCATATGAACGCAGATAATGTCTACTACCCTACCCCCCACACAGTAGCAGACGTGTATACACAGGCACGGAAACAACTGGTGTGTGTGCACTAGTGCAGCCACTCGGTTAAGGAACGTGCCTTGATGCCGGTTAGGGGTTCTTGATCCAAGGAATTTGGCTAACTCCTGGAGCATGATTCGGTTTATACTTCAAGGATAAAGGCCTTTACTTGCGGGTCAAAGACCGAGGTTAGTGGCGTCTTTGATTGCTAGTGAAGACTCCCATTGTGCAGTTACCGTGAGTCCTTGTGTTCACTGTGGAGCATAGTACAACCCTCGCTGCTCTTGTCCTGATAGCTAGCTTAGTTGGTTCTTGGTTTACTATGTCCTAAGATTCTCAGTGTGCTCCGTTTGCCCTAGCCCAATATGCTTCTGTTCACTGTGGTCCAGAAGATCCAGGGAAAATTGGCGCGTCTCCACGCGGGGCACAAAAAATGTAGAATTCTCTTGGTTCCCGAGCCATGTTGGGTCTCGGGAAATGAACGGGCGTCGAGCTGATGCCAAGGCAAAAGCTACTGTAGCAAGCCCATTTACAATAAACTTTTGTCTTGGTGACTTAATAGGCCATGTCCATAGATATGTCCTCGGGAAGTGGTGAACCCAGTGGGTCTTACAGACTATAGGTGCAGGTTATGTAATGTTCGGCAGGAAGTGGGTGTTTAGCTTTCCTCCAACAGGAATCTTCACTTGGAAATGAATCTGAGAGTTGAGAATCGGGCGCGCACCTCACCATAGTCACATATTTGCAAGTGTTCTTGCCATGCTCTATGTAACTTGCCTGCTGCTGACTATGGAACATTTTAAGTTTGACATATCTTATACCATTTCACCCTCGTCGTGGTTTTTATAATTACCGGTTTGCCTGTAGTGATCTTAGGAACTTTTAGAAGCGTCTTAACATTAATAATAATAATAATATGTATGAAAGTATAGTAGTACCAACACTTATATGGGTGTGAAGCTTGAGTTGTAAATGCTGCAGCGAGGAGGCGTTTGGAGGCAGTGGAGATGTCCTGTCTAAGGGCAATGTGTGGTGTAAATATTAGGCAGAAAATTCGGAGTGTGGAAATTAGGAGAAGGTGTGGAGTTAATAAAAGTATTAGTCAGAGGGCTGAAGAGGGTTTGTTGAGGTGGTTTGGTCATTTAGAGAGAATGGATGAAAGAATGAAATGGAGAGCGTATAAATCTGTAGGGGAAGGAAGGCGGGTTAGGGGTCGTCCTCGAAAGGTTGGAGGGAGGGGGTAAAGGAGGTGCTGTGGGCGAGGGGTTTGGACTTCCAGCAAGCGTGCGTAAGCGTGTTAGATAGTGAATGGAGATAAATGGTATTTGGGACCTGACGAGCTGTTGGAGTGTGAGCAGGGTAAAATTTAGTGAAGGGATTCAGGGAAACCGGTTATTTTATATAACCGGACTTGAGTCCTGAAAATGGGAAGTACAATGCCTGCACTCTAAAGGAGAGGTTTGGGATATTGGCAGTTTGGAGGGATATATTGTGTATTTCTATACGTATATACTTCTAAACTGTTGTATTCTGGGCACCTCTGCAAAAATAGTGATTATGTGTGAGTGAGGTGAAAGTGTTCAATGATGATGAAAGTATTTTCTTTTTGGAGATTTCTTTCTTTTTGGGTCACCCTGCCTCGGTGGGAGACGGCCGACTTGTTGAAAATATTATATTATATATATATATATATATATATTATATATATATATATTATATATATATATATATATATATATATATATATATATATATATTATAATAGTGTGTGTGTGTGTGATGTAAATGATTTTCATTAGCACGAGCGATTATTGACCTTACCTGCATGGTCAAAGTGCACAGTAAATATCACGATTACTATATCTTGATCCAACGAAGTGATCCTATCCTCTCATTGGATCGAACCTGATTGTTTCCCATTCCCAGGCTCTGCATAACCCCTATGGGTTTAACGTTTTCCCCTGATAATAATAGTGCACTACGCATATATGATGGAATATGGCAGGAAAACTATCTTGTGAAGGAGTATGACGGGCAAAAACCATCCTTTGTAGTGTGTGTGACGGGGAAACCATCCCTCGTGGTGAAGCACGAAAGAAAACCATCCTGTGATGGGTTTGCTAACAGGGTCCTTGCTGTAACCTGTAATATGTCATGTAGATCAGGGTAGCTGCGCGGCGTTTCGGGATAAAAAAAATATTCGTAGTTTCTATTGTTTCCTGACTGTTTTCACGCGTCGTTAATTCCCATAAATTTAATGCTGCACTTAGCATCATTGAGTTATCACCTTCTGTGAACGTAAGTGTTGTGTGTAACATGAGACTTATGCCCCAGTTTATCACTGTTCCTTTTTAATTGAAACGAGGCTAACGGCAATGTGGCGCTACTTGACATCATCTATGATATTTTCAACAGTAGACTGTTTCTATTAAGTTTTTTTTTTTATTCCGAAGAACGCTATAGTTACCAACCTGTAAAATGGAAGTTTCTTGACGCCGGTGAGGGTCTCTTGATTCAAGGAATTGAACCTCTTATTCTCTCCCTTGGGTCGAACCTGATTTTACCTCCAGTTATTCCCAGGTGCTGTATGACCTCTATGGATTTAGAGTTTTGCGCTATTTATAATCCATTACAAAGGATGAGTTTCATATGAGGTAATGAAATCTGCCAGTCTGAGCCCGGAGACTTCAGTGGGGAAATAAAGATCGTCAGTGATTCCACAGTGGGATATACAAGAAACTTAATGTTCAGTTGTATATTTATTAAAGGAAATGGTTTTGCTACGAGTGACTTCTACGGTCCTGTTATAGAGGCAAGAGACTGGAGTATATATAAGTGGCGGGAGTCAAGTGGCATGATGTGAGAAGGTAGCAGTAATAATAGCAGGGGTACGGTTATTAGGGTGATTGAGTTTGAGAGGGCCCTGCCAACATAGGCTAGCTGCAGTGCTCCTCCTTCGCAGCGCTATATAGTCCTTGTGGCTTAGCGCTTCTTTTTGATTATAATAATAATGCAGTGCTCCTCTATACATTGTGCATCAGGTGACAGCCATCACCTGATACACAGACGAAAAGTCTGTGAAGGGTGCCTTAACTGCTGTTAGTAAAACATTTTCCCAGAAGTCTGGGAGTTTCAACATGCCCAAACTCGCTCACGAGTAATGACTCACGAATTCATAACAACAAATATTGCAAAAAAAAAAAAATCACAAAGGGTGGGAATCGAATCCATTACAGTTTCAAACGGATTCGTTGGACAATAAAGCAGACTGTAAATGGATGGGGTTGTAGGCGCCCTTATAAACACAAACAATAAATATAAAACAAACTCCAGGAGCGTACTCCGGTAAGCTGTCCTGATATAAAATACAGTTAGAAATAGAAATACAGATAGCTAGAGCTTTACTTAAAGAGGTTATTAATAGAGTATTCAAGAGGTTGCTAGTAGAATTACAGTAAATTTTTTTTTATTATTATCACACCGGCCGATTCCCACCAAGGCAGGGTGGCCCGAAAAAGAAAAACTTTCACCATCATTCACTCCATCACTGTCTTGCCAGAAGGGTGCTTTACACTACAGTTTTTAAACTGCAACATTAACACCCCTCCTTCAGAGTGCAGGCACTGTACTTCCCATCTCCAGGACTCAAGTCCGGCCTGCCGGTTTCCCTGAATCCCTTCATAAATGTTACTTTGCTCACACTCCAACAGCACGTCAAGTATTAAAAACCATTTGTCTCCATTCACTCCTATCAAACACGCTCACGCATGCCTGCTGGAAGTCCAAGCCCCTCGCACACAAAACCTCCTTTACCCCCTCCCTCAACCCTTCCTAGGCCGACCCCTACCCCGCCTTCCTTCACTACAGACTGATACACTCTTGAAGTCATTCTGTTTCGCTCCATTCTCTCTACATGTCCGAACCACCTCAACAACCCTTCCTCAGCCCTCTGGACAACAGTTTTTGGTAATCCCGCACCTCCTCCTAACTTCCAAACTACGAATTCTCTGCATTATATTCACACCACACATTGCCCTTCCAGACATGACATCTCCACTGCCTCCAGCCTTCCCCTCGCTGCAACATTCATCACCCACGCTTCACACCTTTATAAGAGCGTTTTTAAAACTATACTCTCATACTTTCCCCCTCTTTGCCTCCAAGGACAAAGTTCTTTGTCTCCACAGACTCCTAAGTGCACCACTCACTCTTTTTCCCTCATCAATTCTTGATTCCCCTATCTTTCATAGACCCATCGCTGACACGTCCACTCCCAAATATCTGAATACATTCACCTCCTCCATACTCTCTCCCTCCAATCTGATATTCAATCTTTCATCACCTAATCTTTTTGTTATCCTCAAAACCCTTTTACTCTTTCCTGTATTCACCTTTAATTTTTTCTTTTGCACCCCCTACCAAATTCATCCACCAATCTCTGCAACT